AAAAAATATATTTACTTCTCCTGATATGAAAATTTTTCGAAGAATGATACTATAATGTCTTTCATTACAATGAAAGAATCAATCATATTTTAATAAATATTTCGTTTTTATTTTGGATATGAAAATAAAGAAATGTATGTATAGGAGAGATAATAATTTTATTATATCACATAAATACTACTATATTACATTATAATTTTACCTATATTATTCATATCTTCAAACAAAATATATTTATAGATCTTTGCAGATCTGTTTCTTACTTATAGTTTCATCTTTTTAACGAAAATAAATGTACATTACAAGCAAATAATCTCTTTTTAAATTAAATTAAACATTTTAATAGATTTAAGAATTGCATGCGTTTAAGTCTTATACTATCTGTGTTGCACATAACGTCGATGTTTTTCTTATAAAATATTAATATTATATAATTATTAAGTCAAGACATTCGCGTCTCTCAGGCAATTAGATTGTTAAGAGCGCCTGTATCGAGAAATCTACATCGTAGATATATTTATGAGAAAGACATTTTAAATAGGACACTTAGATTCAGAAGAAACCTTGGAATCTGTGGAAATATCTTCTGCAGTGAGAGCAAGAATTTCCTCACATACGCGTTTATAAACCCATGCATCACCCTTTAATCTTTTCCGACGAATACCGACTAATCGTTTACCGCTCGGATCGATTTCCAAGAGACAGACTTCCAATTCGAAGGAACAGGAATTCTGTGAGGAGATCGATTTCGACGAGTTTGTCTTATCTTCCGAAAAGAACTCTTCAGTTTCCCCTTGCAAAATGAATCTGTGACGAAATATATTTTTAAAAACTGTGTAAAAAATAGTATTAAAAAAAAATTATAATTACCCTTTCTGACGACACATTATACCCTTTTGTCGAAGTGCTCTTCGTAATTTCGAGAGGACATGTTTCGGACAACCGCTGCATGTTGCAGATACATTAGAAAGACCCTTCAATAATAAAATAAAATTTACCGTCACTTGCAAGATAGAAACTTTTTCTAATATTTTCATATATAATTTAAATATAAAACATACCTTCCCTGATAATATATTTGGTTCATCGGGATCGGTGTTTTCATTCTTTGCTCGCCTTTTCGGTGTGAGAACACATCTTACCCGATTCAATCCTCTCTCTAAGCCCATCATAACTTTTCTTGCACTACCAGGTGTAGATGTTTGAGAAACTCTAAAAACATTGTGTTTTTGAATATCATATTTGTTGTATTACTTTCATATTATTCATAAGCTTACTTGGAATCTGGTGTTAAGGATTGCGTTGGAGTAGTTGATCTATTTTCAGGTAATTTCTTTGCTGGAACTGTATTAATATAAAAAGCCAAATTATAAGTATAATTTCAATATTATTTATGTATAATTAACATATAATTATATATATAAATAGATAGATTTTACTAAGAAGTTTAATACTTTTCTGAGTGATGAGGATTCAAATGTAATGATGCTTGAGGAGGAGAATAATGTATCTTCTAAGGGGTTTTAGTGAAGGATTCTTGTACACGGAAAGTCTTGAGTCTAAATTGCGTTTGTTAGCAAGTCATTGCTCTTCTCTAGGTAATTATCTACTTTTCGCGCGACTACTGTAATTTATCGCAGTCGGAAACTTTCATTAAAGTTTCTAATTAGATGGTGCTAGCATCACCTAATTAGAAATAAACTTTAGAAAATGTATTGTGGAACTAACTTAACTGCGGCCGCAATGTGTTTAATAAACAGTTGCATGTACAAAACATACAAAAAACCAAATGCACAAAAACATAAAAATCAACATATTTGGAAATATTAGAAAAATTCTTGAAGATAAAATAATGATATTTCAAATAAAAATTAATATGTTTCCATGTTTATAAAAAACGATAAATAGTAAAAGGATTGGAATATTGGATAGTGTAGTGATCAAATATTTACCGGGCGATGATACATCATCAGAATCTCTGCTTCGTAATCTTTTTCTTGTCGACATATATGGTGGTTCCATAAAGTTATTTTCATTTTTTTTAGGCAAAACATTGTAAGTGACATCAATCGTTGTAGGTTGGTCATTGTTTCTATTCCTTGGAGAATGATCGAGTTTAGTTATAAAATTGTTGGCTACTATTTCACGTTGTGGAAAAGATTTACCATTCTATAAAATAAAAATTGTACAATTCAATACATCAATCTTACATTAAAAAATGATTTTTTTTTTTTTACTTTTTTACCATCTCTTGCTTAAGATGAGATCTTGTTATAGGTGCTATTTTCAATGAAAGTCCACGTAATTTTCTGTCAATTAACAACAAATATGTAGCCGTTCTATAATCAGTTCTATCACTCTGCACAAGTTTTTTCCATATATCTAAACTAGTCCCACCGCAAATGGCGGACATAGTATTCAATACCTCGTCATTTTTTTCAAACTAAATATTTACATGGAAAAAAAAGAATTTCACATAAAATATCTAAAATATAAAGTCAATTTCTCTGCAATAAAAATTCCTACTTCTGTTCTGTGAATGAATGATACAGATTTCAGAGAACTTCCAGTAATCCATGGATGATGACATAATTGGTGAATAGTGATTCTTTTTGCTGGATCGATTTGTAACATTGATTTGATTAACATTTTACTATTATTAGATAACCAATATGGTTCCTCATACTTGCCACTCTAAAATAAATATAATTTATACATTTGTGTCATAATATGCAAATAGCAATTATAAAACTTACAAGTATCTTTTTATATAAATTCTCTAAATTATTGTCATCAAAAGGCAAAAAGCCACATAGTAAAGCATAAAGAAGAACCCCCATGCTCCAAATATCTACTTCTGAGCCTGTGAAGAAAAATTTTCAACTTAAATATTAAATTATAGTGAAATATCAAAAGCATTTTAAAAACTTAATTACCTAAATATTTCTTTCCCATTATGAGCTCTGGGGCAGCATACGTAGGAGAACCGCAAGAGGTATATAAATGTGCCTGAATTCCCATCTTGGGTTTTGCGCATAGCCCAAAGTCAATTAACTTTAAATTCTCATCTTTATCCAGTAAAACATTTTCCTGTTAAATAAGAAAATAAATTATCTTATTCTCAAGACACTCTTAGTAAGTCTTCCTAAGATAAATAATATGTATTGTATAAAAAAAAGCATGTTTACAGGCTTTAAATCTCTATGAGCATATCCTAAATTATGCATGTATGCAACGGCAGACACTATCTGATAAAAAAATCTACGGGAGTCAGATTCCGACAACTTGTTCTTTTCAACTGGAACATAAATACAATAGTCATTAATATTCAGATTTTCTAGATAACAAAAGATTCTTTATGTCATAACTTAAACTTACCTATGTGATCAAACAATTCTCCACCAGAACAATATTCCATAACCACGAAGTAGTGACTCTCCGTCTCTATCACTTGATACAGTCTACAGATGTGTTGATGCAACAGTGTTTTAAGTGCTTCTACTTCGACCTTTACTCTTGGCAAGTCTTCCTAGAATAATTACATAATACACATATTTTAAGACAGAATATGAAACAAAAAAAATTGGCAAAAATACAGGCAAAGTCACAATAAACATTCCCTCCTTTTAAAATAAATATTGGGACTTTGCTTACGCCTAATGCAGTCTTCTCCATAATCTTGATGGCAACTTTTTCGCCGGTAGCGACGTGAGTCGCGAGTTTCACTTTGGCAAAACCGCCGCTACCGATCGTCTTCTCCAGGTCGTATAATCCTTTCAGGGCGGCGTATCGCACCATCGTCAAGCCCGGCACAAAAAATGTGAATCGCAAATGCCGGAAAAGTGTCGCGGTCCCGCCTCGATTGTCGTATCAATTTTCAAACGTGGTTCTGGTGGTTCCGTAACGTAAACAACTTTTGACGGCCAATCAACACCTCGCTCGGCCGTTTTCCCGTTATCAGTGCTGCCATGCGCAAACACAGAATGCGCAATCGCTAAACGTCAAATAACTATACGTCGATGCTTAGGGAAATGATAAGAGATCTCCTTCAACGTCATTTACCAGTTACGCGAATATCAAACGCGGAATAGGAAGGAAACTACCTTAACAAGCGCCAATAGCTAATCTCTTATCAGATACAGAAAGAAATCTGAGAAAATAAGAAATTTTAGAAATGTGGGATTATACGAAAACGTTGAAAATACGTAACGCAGAAGAAATACTAACAATTAGATTGTATTTACTATTCATTATTAATTTGCGCATCTAAAACTTAATAATCGCGATAAAAAATTATTAATATATTTATAACAATACTTTCATCGTGTTCAAGATAACTATCTCAATATAGTTCCATCATATCAAAGCCCTTGCGCTTTGTGGTACGCTGGTTTAATTAGTATCCGATGCAAAGAAGAACAATCTTCATAGTGGAGAGCAAACTTAATGTATTCTGATTCTACGTCAAATTCACAAGATTCATTTGCAAAGAAAAGTTAAACAATCCGTCAAATACCAGTGATCTTGTTACAGGAGGGTATAAATTCCGAATCTTTCAAACTATGCTTATGATAGTAATAATTTTGTTAGCATTGTCAATTACGATTACCATTTTTATCACATCTTTAACGTAATATTAAAATTTGTGAGAAAATATGTTCTGTCACACATCATTATAAATCATTTTTTATTAAAAATAAACGGATAGAATGATTTCCTTATGGAATAGTGATTACGCGAAGGAATATAATTAATAATAATAAAATACATGCGTATTGTAATTTTTTATATATGTATGGGTACAAAAGTTTCTCGGTTATCAACTGACACGAACCACATCTATACTTTCGACGATACGATTTTATCGATAGTGTTAGAAAATGTATACATGTATAGTCATGTAATTCCCAAACTGAAAATGGATGTACTGGCGGTAGTGTACGGGCAATTTCGACGGTAACAGGAAGAAGGCCGACATAGCCTCTCTCAGGTTTCTTTTTGTTAGATATTTTTTATATAAAAAATGGCGGCCATCGTCTGACAGACAAGCTGTCAATGAGCAAAATGCTCCAAGTTTTCGAAATGACTTATCGCTTTGTTGAGAAATATTGTATTGATAAACAATGGCACAGTTCTTACGAGTGTGCAAACCAGAAATCTGTTGCGTGGCTAGAAGTTATGGAACTTGGAGGTTAGAATCTTGTTTTGTCGTCACGTTATATCATAATCGTTGTTAAATAATAAATTTGTTTTTTTAGCCAGCTACTTTTTGTACTCCATTACAATCTTTGATAAATATTTAATATAATGTCCTTTCCGATTTTGTCGTAATTTTGTAAATTTATATTTTCATGAGTAAAATGTATTTCGAAAAAGAAAATCGTCTGTATTTTTCATTAATTTCAGTTTTTTTTAATCAGTCTGTAAGAAAATTATAATTTAATGATAACTCTCTGCTTATTCCGTGCAGATTCTCTGCTTTAATTAATAAAAATCACAAATTACTTTTTTATAACTTAAATTATAGCAGAGAATAGTTTGTGATCCAAAGTTTACATTTATTCTTTTTATGTAGACATTAAAAAACTTAGAAATTAAAAAAACAAGGAAACGAGAGCGACGATTTTCCTTCTTGGAATATATTTTATGCATGAAAGTACACAAATTTGCAAAATTAGAGGAAAATTAAGAGAATATTATATGTTACACACTATATATTAATATATTTATTCACACACATAGTCTTTTTCTTTCTTTTCCCTCCCTTTAACATATGAGATAGAAATATATACTTATTTTGTTCTGAGTGTAGAAAGTGTCAGCCTGCTAAAAAAAAGAACAGATTTATTATTGCCAATGTAGCGCGTTCCTTTTAAAGGTACCAGCAGAATCATTATGAAATCTTAAACGTTTCACCCTATGCGTCGCAGAAAGAGATTAGACAAGCTTTTATCAAATTGTCAAAACAAGTATGTAATTATCTAAATACAAGAAGTATATAATGCTTTAGGTACTTAATTTGTATTAGGAGAAATCATAAATTTTTAATTTGGATAATATAAATGTAAACAGCATATTTTTTATTGTTTTCACTAATCTGTATTTAATGATACATACAATTATCATACAAACTGCTCATTTATTTTTGCTAGTTGCATCCTGATACTAGTGGTAAACAAGGTTATACTGATTTTGTAAGGTTGAACGAGGCGTATGTGATTCTAAGCAAAGAAAATACAAGGCGCCAATATGATTTTGATTTGAAGTATAATAAATACAATCCATCTTACGTCAATAACTCGCAGAACACGTAAGTTAATATTGATTTTATTAAAAAATGCTATACTAATGCAATATGAAATTAAATCTTTCGTATCTTTTCCAAATTCTTGCTTTTACATTTCCAAATTTGGGTGCTTTGACAAAAATATCTGTAGAAAACTTGAAACATTATTTAAAACGAATTATAATAATCAGTGATTATGCTTTGGATGTAACACTGAAATTGTATTATTTTCCATTCTTACGCACAACTCAACAGGAGAATTCTATTGTTATATGGATTATAATGTTTTTGTGAATAGGTTGAAGTGACTTAATTTTTATAATTGATTCTATATTGCCTGTATAAACATGTAAGAGTGAGCTTTAATACAAGTAACATAATACATTATTACAGACAATATAGCAATCGATGGGAATATGAAGTACGTACAGCAGGAGGACCATGGCCGCCACCACCTCCACCAAAACCGAATGAAAACTTTGGCCTCCTAGTAGCTCTTGTGTTTACTGGATTAGGGTTGCTACAATTTGCTTTCATACTTTATTCTATGAAAATAAGAAAGATAGTAGCTTTGCGACATACTCTAATAGAGAATGAATATAAACAAATTCGAGAATCGGCACATATTAAAGCTAATACGTTTTCTATAAACGATCTTAATTCCGAAGAGGATTTTAAAGAGTACCTAACTACAAAAGACAGTAGTGAATGTTAGCAAAAATTTTATTAGAAATTAAAGAAGTAGCAGTTATTAGAAACATTGTTTTTTTCTCGATTTCCTTTTCCTTTCTGTTGTCCTGAAAGTAAATCCTATTTTTCTCTCTCTCTCTCTCTCTCTCTCTCTCTCTCTATATATATATATATATATATGATTTTTATACAGAGATGACTTTCTATATTTATTTTGTAAGTTCGTTTTATATAAGATATTGTTTATCTACTTAATAAAGGAAATTTGAAAGCATGCTTTATTAAATCTATAAAACGAAATGCAAAACGTTTTTTCTCAATGTCTCAATTATAAAAATTTTTTAACCCTTATACAATACAAGATACAATTTGGTGTTTACATACAATTTAGTGTCCGTCCAAACATGGGTTACTAGAATTCGTCCATTTTTTTCACCTATTCAGAATAGTTTAAAAAATCTCTAAAAATTTACCAACATACTTTCAACTTTCTAGAATAAATATTGAAACTTCATTTTGAAAAATAAAATGTAATATAATTTGTAATTACCGAAAGACTCAAAGAGACTTGCACGAACAGGAATCGCCCGGTTACTAATGACTCGACCTTGTACTGTAAGGGTTTATATATATATTTTTATTTTTATCTATACTTACATTTACATATATGAAGGGATGAAAACCATAATGGTGTAAATAAAAAAAATTCACTTGATTATGATTTTGAGAAACAAAAGGTTTTATTAGACTTGATCTAATAAATTCGTGATATGACAAATCGAATATTGGTACTGGGAAAAGATGAGTTATGAATGTTATGATCCATTTAATTTTTTCTTTCAACATTTCTGCTTCAATGAACTGCGTTAATAACCTCAAATCGATAAATTTTAAAAAGTGACGTACATCACTATGATCGTTCTTTCATATAAAAAAAAGATATGGTAATAAAATTGTTTTAATGATAATGCATTATTTGATCCATATTTTTAATATATTTTATAATATTTAATATATTATTAAGATGGTATTGGATAGACGAATCAC